CCAGTGCTCTTAACCACTGGTCATCTCTCCAGCCTCTTATGACGTGTGTGTGTGTGTGTGTGTGTGTGTGTGTGTGTGTGTGTGTGTCTCCCACTGAGTTTAATTAGTGTTGATTACAGCATGGGCAACTTACTAGTAGTTACAACACTGAAGAAAATGCCTCTCACTCCTCCAGCAGCCATTAAATACCCATAAATCCTCAGGAAGGGGCAAGACCCTCTTAATAGTCCCCCATTTTTGGACACAGCGTCTTATGTACTCCAAGCAGGCTTAAATTGTTAGAGATAATTTTCTTTGAGAAAACTCATTCTGCTCTGTTTATTTTGAAATGACTCCAGCTAGGAACTAAGTATTTTTTTTAATAGATCAATATTACAAATGAACCACCATGCCCAGTTTTGTGGAGAATGTTGTGGATCCAGCCCAGTGCCTTATGCTTTCAAGGCAAGCGAGTCTACCAACTAAGCTCCATTCTAGCCATGGTGGCATCTAGAAAGTGTTGTGGAGTAAATTAATCTTAAGATAGGCGTGGTGGCACATGCCTTTAATCCCAGCACTCGGGAGGCAGAGGCTGGCGGATCTCTGTGAGTTTAAGGCCAGCATGGTTTACATGCTGAGTTCCAGGCCAGCTTGGGCCATAGGGAGACCCTGTCTCAAAAAGACCAATAAATAAATATCTTAGAATAAACATGAATTCTCTAAAGGCACTATTTCATTTATTGATACCAAAACAGTTACTTACCAATTAAAAGTCAGGTAGCAGGAATCAATAAGCACTGCTTCAAATATGAAGAAGACCTGGAGGTGAGATGAACATTAAAACACAGTGGTATGAGGAGTGCTGTCACTAGGATGTAAACAAAGCTCTGTGGACAGTGAGCCTGTTTGTGTGGGAGTGGGGAAGGCCTCATGGAGAAGTGGTATGTGGGCTGCAACTGGAAGGGTTAGAACTTAGCCAGGTCAAGAGAAGGATGAAGCACACCAGCCAGAGGCAGCTGTTGGCTCCGTGCAGGGAGTTATGGAAAGGCCTTGCTCATCCCATGAACAGGCAGCACTGTAGCATGGAGGTGGGGCAGAGAGCAGTGGGGAGTGTGGAAAGGGGAGGGAGGGGAGGGCTATGGTTGGAATGAAGCTAGAGTACAAAATAAATCGTACTTAATTAAATTGCCTGGGAAGGAACTCAGTTGCCTTTAGTGAATAATCCCAGAGTTATTAGAGGAAATAAAATCCAGCCTGTTTGTGAGGGTATGTACTTGTGCAATGGCTTTTTCTACTTGTTCTATTATGGGTCTGGTAAAAATGCTGGCAACTCTGGGGAGCAATAGAAAATAATTGAGCCTGATACATATTGGCCTATGAAGACTTATCTAATAAGGTTTTCTATGGGATTTAAAGTATTATTATTATTATTATTTTTACAGAGGACAGTAATGCTGGATAAAGAGTCTTCATTAAGCCTAGTATCTAATTAGTGAAAACATGAAGTGGCACAGACCATGTGCTTTGAATCAGGAAAACTTGGTTAGCAAGTGGCTATGTCACCTTTGGCAAATGCTTAAATCCTTCCAAATCTCATTTTATTTATCTGTGAAACAGAAAATTATATTCACTTTGTAGGTAGCCACTAGCACAGGATTTAATCTCATAGTCAAGTTCAACAGTCTCTGTTCCCTTCAGCCTTCCTCATGACACAAGACACTGTGATAGAAGGAAACCAGAGGTCCAGACAATTAACCAAGAACCCAAGGGGTATAGTTGGCTCTTCAAGCAGGGCCTTTCGAGGTGCCAGGGTTGTGTGGGTGTTCCCTGTTACTTGGACTTTGTTCTTAGGTCTGAAGTTCTTTGAGGCTGACACTTCATTAGAAATTCATGAATAGTTTAGAATGAAAGTTTAACTTCCAATGTATACATTTTCCTGTAATTGGCTTTCCTTTTCTCAATCTTCTATCTCTATATTGAGAAAGAATAATCAGAAAGTTAATTGATCAATGAACCTGAGGGAAGAGAATTGTGTAGTCAGCAAAAAGATTTCACTCAGGATGCAAAAAAGGCTGATGCTTTCTTAATCAGGCCTTTGAGTCATGTATATGTACATGCATATGTACATATTTAAAGTTTTTTTTAATTAAAAAATATTTATTATTTTTTTATGTGTATGTATGTATTGCCTGCATATAGGTGAGTGCACCTGTGTCATGCAATGCCTGTGAGGACAGGAGAGGCCATCAGACCCCCTGGAACTGGAGTTATGGACAGTTGTTAGCTGCCATGTGGGTGCTGAGATTCAAACCCATGTCTTCTGCAAGAACAATCAGTGTTCTTAACCACTGAGCCATCTCTTCAGCCCGTTTAAAAATTAAAAAAAAATTTTAAATTTATTGATAGTGTGTGTATGCACATATATCATAGCATGTATGTAAAGGTCAGAGGACAACTTGTGGGAGTCTTTTGGTTCTCTCCTTCCATCACATAGATTCTGGGAATCAAAGTCAGGTTCTCAGGTTTGGTGCAAGTGCCATTACACTCTCAACTCTCAGCCATTTCACTGACCCTTTTGTTTATTTTCTTTTATTAAAATTTATTTTTCGTGATGGTACACACCTTTAATCCTAGCACTCAGGAGGCAGTGAGTTCAAGGCCAGCCTGGTCTACATATCATGTTCCAGGCCTGCTGGGGCTACAGGGAGACCTTAAAAAAAAAAAAAAAAAAAAAAACAGACCAAGATAAAATTTATTTTATAAAAATTAATTTATTGTTTTAAAATTGTTTGCGTGTGCATGCCTATGTCTGTCTGTGCATATGAGTGCACGTCCCCATTGGAGCCCCAGAAGCTGGAGTTACAGGCAGCTATGAGCTACCCAACGTTGGTCCTGGAAGCCAAAGTCTGCAAGAGTAACAGACATCTCTGACATCTTTTCTGCCTCCCTTGCTTGTTTTTTGAGACAAGGTCTCATGTAGCCCTGACTGGTCTCACATCTACTCTGTAGCTGACCTTGAACTTCTGATCTTCCTGCCTTCATGTCTCATACATTCTTTTAAAATATTAAGATTTATCTTTTTTATGTGCATGTGTGAGCACCTGCATATGTATATGTGTACCATATGCATGCCTGATGCTCACAGGGGCCAGAAGAGGGGAGTAGATGCTCTGGAATTGGAGTTACAGGCAGTTGTGAGTCACCATGTGGGTGCTGGGAAACAAACCCAGGTCTTCTGTAAGAGCAGCAGGTGCTTTTAACCACTGTCCCATCTATCTCTCCAGTCTCTCATATATATATACTCTCAATGTTCGAGAAACACAACATATTCCTATTAGAAATGCCACCTGCGGACTCTATATGAACCATACGTCTCTGTTAACACATTCATTTTCTCAAATAAAATGAAATCATTAAATTTTATGTAGCCCTGATTTTGAATTCTTGGCAACCCTCCTAACTTAGCCTTCTGAATGCTAGCACATGTGACGTGCCAGCTACCTTTGCATGGATCTGGGAGTTCCTCAGGTATATGCCAACATTTTTAACAGGCACCAGGTAGCTTGGCATATAGCTAACATTAACTAATTTAATTCTCATAATTCACCAGATCGATCCCATTCCTAGATATTTCATCACAGAATTCATTGTGCTAATCTTCACAATCTGTTTATCTATTGACCAGTGGTGCATATTCAACAAATGCTCCTTGAATATGAGGGTAAAAGAGCATCTTAGAAGAGAACCAAAAGAATAGACTTGAACTTTATTCTTTTTCTCCGAAAGCATTCTGTGTTTACTAGATTACTAAGAGTGAAAATGTTGAGAGAGAGAGAGAGAGAGAACGAACACTGGGAAGAAAGAAACAGAAGAGCTCTGGAAAGATGTTTAAGGAAGGGGCAAGGGTAGAGGTGGTGATGGTAGGCTCTCTCTCAAGGCAGTCTGTAGGCAATACTACTCATTTGGGGCTGTTGCTGAAATCTTAGAGAAGCGGTGGACCAGAAGCAGGTGGGCAAGGAGATGAGGGCAGATTGATGTTAAATTGTCTGCGTATGATGTTGGGACAAAAAGGGAAGACTATATTCTATCTTTGGTACCTGAAAGTTGTGGTGCGATTCTGGGAGAGGACAACGGAATATGGAGTTCACTTTCAGATGCTTTAAAGTGCTTGCTGAGACAAAAGGGTTTAAGTATCCGGTAAGCACTGGGTATAAGGGTCTGAGCTTGTGAAACAAATTTGGATTAGTTGGAAGCACGTAAGTCTCGCCCGAAGTTTAGAGCTGGAGGGAAGGGTTCAAGTGAACTCCCGATTTAGAAGTGTAGAGAGAGGAATCAGAGCAGGATTAGGAAATCCAAGGAGGAATAAAAGGGGGTGACGTTTTGAGGTAAAGAGGTGGTGACGGACGCCTCCTGGAGGTGGGACAGGAGGATGGCAAATCTCTCCTAGCCCTTAGTCAAGGGATTCTAAGGAGCACCGCTGACAGGGATGGGGCGAGCCAGAGGCTAAACTGAAGAAGGGAAAGGAGGCAACTTGGTAAAGTGTTTCGTGGAGCTTGCCTATGTGAGACCTGAAGGTTGAGATTTGGAGGGTAATTTAAGGCTCAAGGGGATAACAATGCAGAATCCTACACTCCGGAGGGGAGTAGTCAGACTGTCCATGTCCTTGCAGCATGTACACTCCTTAAGGTCTAAAGATTTTCCTGCAATAAACTGAGTGAACAAACAAAAAACCTCTACAAATTGCTGCTCTAAAATAATTTGTGCAAGCCTCTCCCTTTAAAAATCCTGGCATGCAAATAAGGGGCTTTAATGTGGCTCTCACCGATTGGTAGGCTCCTTCAACACTTCGTTATTTCCTGGTACTGCGGAATGTAAACCTGGAGTCTAGTTTCTGCACTCCTATTGGCTGTTTGAACCAGCTCCGCTTTGCACCAATCACATTACTTTCCTTCCCCCCTCCCAGTAGGTCTTATAAATGACATCAAAGTGCCTATCCCTTTCCACATCCTTCTCCTTGGAAAAGCAGGGGTGATTCCCTATTTACCCATAATGTCTGGCCGTGGCAAACAAGGGGGCAAGGCCCGCGCTAAGGCCAAGTCGCGCTCATCCCGCGCCGGCCTACAGTTCCCGGTTGGCCGCGTGCACCGCCTGCTGCGCAAGGGCAACTACGCGGAGCGTGTGGGCGCCGGCGCGCCGGTGTACATGGCGGCCGTGCTGGAGTACCTGACGGCTGAGATCCTGGAGCTGGCGGGCAACGCGGCTCGCGACAACAAGAAGACGCGCATCATCCCGCGCCATTTGCAACTAGCCGTGAGGAATGACGAAGAGCTCAACAAGTTACTAGGAGGGGTCACCATCGCGCAGGGCGGCGTCCTGCCCAACATCCAGGCTGTCCTGTTACCTAAGAAAACCGAGAGCCACAAGCCTGGCAAGAACAAATGAGTCACTTGACACCTTTCCACCCTCCAAAAGGCTCTTTTAAGAGCCACCAGAGTGTCAAATGAAGGGCTGGTCACAAGGCAGCGCATTTGCTCTTTTCTGAAAGCTTGGGTGGCTCTAAAAAGAGCCTTTGGTCTTTGTTTTGGCGTCCCGCTTTATTTACTCTTGGCCTTGTGGCTCTCCGTCTTCTTAGGCAGCAACACAGCCTGGATATTGGGCAGGACGCCGCCCTGGGCGATGGTCACTTTGCCCAGCAGCTTGTTAAGCTCTTCGTCATTCCTCACGGCTAGTTGCAAATGGCGCGGGATGATGCGCGTCTTCTTGTTGTCGCGAGCCGCGTTGCCCGCCAGCTCCAGGATCTCAGCCGTCAGGTACTCCAGCACGGCCGCCATGTACACCGGCGCGCCGGCGCCCACACGCTCCGCGTAGTTGCCCTTGCGCAGCAGGCGGTGCACGCGGCCAACCGGGAACTGTAGGCCGGCGCGGGATGAGCGCGACTTGGCCTTAGCGCGGGCCTTGCCCCCTTGTTTGCCACGGCCAGACATCACTTACGTTTACCGCGCACACCAGGGAAAAATACTGGAAACAGCTTACAAATCCGCAACAAAGGAAGGGACGACCAACGCCAAAGCTTTTATAAGCTTTCCTAGGGGTGGAGTCAGGAACCAGCTTTTCATTGGTTCTTATTTGGCCCTAGAAACGTCCAGTCTTAGGGTCCTCCTTACGTAGGTTAGTACTGAAAACACAAGTTTTTCCATTTGGACCAATGGGGATGAAAGACATTTTGAGACTTAATTTGCATAAGGTGGTTATAAAAGGATTAGGCCCGCCCTTCTCCGAGCTTGTTTTTCCCTCTGTCTTGTTCTGTTGTTGCCCTATCATGCCTGAGCCGGCCAAGTCCGCCCCTGCTCCCAAGAAGGGCTCCAAGAAGGCGGTCACCAAGGCGCAGAAGAAGGACGGCAAGAAGCGCAAGCGCAGCCGCAAGGAGAGCTACTCCATCTACGTGTACAAGGTGCTGAAGCAGGTACACCCCGACACCGGGATCTCGTCCAAGGCCATGGGCATCATGAACTCCTTCGTCAACGACATCTTCGAGCGCATTGCGGGCGAGGCGTCGCGCCTGGCGCATTACAACAAGCGCTCGACTATCACGTCCCGCGAGATCCAGACAGCCGTGCGCCTGTTGCTGCCCGGGGAACTGGCCAAGCACGCCGTGTCCGAGGGTACCAAGGCCGTCACCAAGTACACCAGCTCCAAGTAGAGTCCCCGCTAGTGGTGCACGCCAGCCCTCCTACTCTAAAGGCTCTTTTCAGAGCCACCCACTTAATCACCAGGAAAGAGCTTTGGCTACTTAAATTTTCTAGTTCCTGGGTGCAAGTTGTTGGAGGTTCCTGTAGAGGGTACACGGGAATTTAGAGCATCTGTAGTTTCGAGTTGCCCAGCAAGTGACTGGTTGTACTTGAGTTGAGTGCTCTGGCATCTTATTTGCTTTGCTTTTTTTAGATTTAAGATTTTGGAGTCGGCCTCCTGGCCACTGCTTTCCTCCTATTCCATGGTGTGTCCAGGAGGCTTTGTTTTCTCGACCCGAACTGAACTGGCTTGACTGGCCGTTAGAGGACTCTGGGACCCTGCTGAGCCCGGATCTGACGAACTCTTGACTGCCCTTTGCCTTTGAAGCGTGGACTACGGGTGGAGTAAGGGTGGATTTGTCTACTTTGGGCGGGGCCCTTAACCTCTGATTGGGCCACATACACATTTAAAATTCCGCGGCACCCTGGAATTTTTAGACTTCTGTTACCCTTCTCTCGCTGGGGCTTTGAAATCCCTATTCTTGGCTTGTGGTGCGCTGCTTCTCCCCGACCTCCCCAAGTTCTCGGCGATTACTGCAAAGGTACTACTAAAATTTTAGCTCAGGAATTTGTTTTTTCCTACCTGTCTTTTGTCTTGCCATTAGCAATTCTCTGAAATTGTTTCCTTTGTTCTCCTTTACCCTCTTGCTCTTCGGGCTGGCCTGGTTTTCCGATGCCTTAAGAGCACACGAATGCCTGGCACATAGCAGACACTTAAACGCTACTTACTGAATTACTTTTCGACCTCACCTTTTTATTGCTCCGGTGGCTGAAATGGGTGCTGTCCATTCCAGGCGCGTGAAGACAGGATTAAGTGGAAATTTTTTAAGAGCTCCTCCCCCAAATCTGTCCTCAGTTACCTCAGTGTAGTTAGGGCGGGGGAGGGGATAATAAGATCCTTTTTGTGGAAAAGGAGCTGGCAACTGTAGGTCCCTTAATTTTCCTTCCTTCCTTCCTTCCTTCCTTCCTTCCTTCCTTCCTTCCTTCCTTCCTTCCTTCCTTCTTTCCTTCCTTCCTTCTTTCCTCTC